TCAAAAAGGACATCATGAGCTTCCTGCTTTTGATATGTCATTAACAGCTGAAGGTAGAAGGAGACCTATTCTAATTAAGACATTTAGCATCCCACTACTGTAAAAAAAGGGAATCATTCAAAATGCTGGCTGTAAGTCTCATTGAGATACTGTATTTGATTATGCATATTTATTTGATTTACTATGACAGTCACTGTAGTACCTAAGCATTTCACAGGTATTAATGGCTGTATCCTCACAATACCCATGTAAAGATAGGAGAAATGTTATCCTTATTTTACATATGGGGGCCCAAGCCACTTAATTTTGTCTGCACAAAGGAAGTTTTCTAAAGAGAGTTTCCATTTGTATTAGCTACATTGGGATTCCTCGTGTAAACAAGGTTTCATATTGCAGAAATTCAGTCATTTACTTGTGCAGTCAAATCAAATGGACACAAGATTAATGAACTACTGAAAACACAGAAACCTTATCCTACATCAGTATTCCCAACCTGCAATATTGGCAAATTTAGGAGGTTCTCTTAATGGAACCATAGCTTGCAAGATAAAGGCCCAATCATGCAGTCAGATCGGTGTAGGCAAAAACAGAGGTCCAGGTGGGTGGAAGTGTGCAGAGCTGATACCAGGATCCAGACCTTAATGAATTACCAAAGGTGGTCTGTTGCAAAGCCAGAAAACTTCTGAGTCCTAATCCTGTAACGAAGGCACTGGACTACCTCAGGCCCCAATGAGCAACACACTTAAATATGTGCTTAATTTTAAGTATGTACTAAATTATTTGATGGATGGTGACCTCAGTTCACAGATACAAGTTTAATATGTAATTAGAAATTGTTGAAGTGTTCCTCCCTGATATTCTGTATTTACATTTTTATTTTCTGATGTTCAGCAAAATGTATCCATTGCCAATTTTTATTTGAAAGACCCATTATCAACTTAAGTTTGGCCTGATTTAGGAAGTTTTGAGCCTTTGTGAACAGATAATTTTTCTACTCTTTACAATTCAAATGGAAGACATTTTATGCATACCTTTGCAGTGTTTCAAAATAAATAAAAACAAACCATAATAGCACTATGAAACTGACTAGAAACACATGCCACTGAATTCATACTCCAAGATGAGAAATGAGAGTAAACAAATACCATAGTGATATATTTAGAAAGACTTTAAAATCTAGTGTAAAGCGTATGTACTAAAACCACCTTACCCATTACTGTATTTGTGAACATTGACTAGTCTTCTTTCAAATCCAAAGTTTATTTTGAGCAGTGGGGGCTAGATTCATAGCGGGCATTAAGGCAACTTTCAGGTGCCATGCTGCCAAGTGACATTCACAATCACCAAGTTCAGCACCTAGGCTCCCTATACAATGCATAGAGTTGGACACCTAAAAAGGGAATTCACTGAAGCCAGCACACTGAGGGGGGTGCTCCTGAAGCTAGCAAGTAGGAAATGTTGAGAAGACGAAGTTAAGTGCCCAAGTCCAGGAGAAGAGACACCTCCCTCTGCTCAGGATTCATCCAGAAACCCTCTCTTAGAGTTAGGACCACTGTGCTTAAATGCCTTTTTACCCAGTAGCTAAAGCACTCACTGAAGATGTGGGAGTCTTCTGGAGTGTGTTTCTTTTGACTGCTTTTGTTGAAGCTGTTCCACTTTGTATAAAATAATTGTTAATTCATTGGACCACAAAGAGTCTATATAGCCCAGTATTTAGGGCACTCACCTGGGATATGAAAGACCTGAGTTCAAGTCCCTATTCCACATTATGAAGAGCATAGATTTTAACCCAGGCCTTTCATATACCCCATGACAGTGGTTTTCAACCTCCCCCCCCACCCCCATTTGCAGACCCCTAAAAAATTCTGAGTGGAAGTGCAGACCCCTTTGGAAATCTTAGGCATTGTCTGTGGTCCCCAAGGCGTCTGCAGACCACAGGTGGAAAACTACTGCCCTATGAATGCTCTAATCCAGTGGCTCTCAACCTTTCCAGACAACTGTATCCCTTTCAGGAAGTTGATTTGTCTTGCATAACCAAGTTTCACCGCACTTAAAAACTACTTGCTTACAAAATCAGACGTAAATATATCAAGTGTTACCGCACACTATTACTGAAAAATTGCTTACTTTCTCACGGGGCATGAGTCCCATGGTTGAGAAACACTGCTTTGGTATATAGAGCAGTATAAACTTATTGTCTGTATGAAATTTTAGTTGGTACTGACTTGGCTAGTGCTTTTCACGTAGCCTGTTATAAAACTAGGCAAATATCTAGATGAGTTACTGGTTTCAGAGTAACAGCCGTGTTAGTCTGTATTCGCAAAAAGAAAAAGGAGTACTTGTGGCACCTTAGAGACTAACCAATTTATTTGAGCATAAGCTTTCGTGAGCTATAGCTCACTTCATCGGATGCATACTGTGGAAAGTGTAGATCTTTTTGTACACACAAAGCATGAAAAAATACCTCCTTCCACCCCACTCTCCTGCTGGTAATAGCTTATCTGAAGTGATCACTCTCCTTACAATGTGTATGATAATCAAGTTGGGCCATTTCCAGCACAAATCCAGGGTTTAACAAGAACGTCTGTGGGGGGGGGGGGGGGGGGGGAACAGGTTACCTTGCATAATGACTTAGCCACTCCCAGTCTCTATTCAAGCCTAAGTTAATTGTATCCAATTTGCAAATGAATTCCAATTCAACAGTTTCTCGCGGGAGTCTGGATTTGAAGTTTTTTTGTTATAATATCGCAACTTTCATGTCTGTGATTGCGTGACCAGAGAGATTGAAGTGTTCTCCGACTGGTTTATGAATGTTATAATTCTTGACATCTGATTTGTGTCCATTTATTCTTTTATGTAGAGATTGTCCAGTTTGACCAATGTACATGGCAGAGGGGCATTGCTGGCCCATGATGGCATATATCACATTGGTGGATGTGCAGGTGAACGAGTGTGGCTGATGTTATTAGGCCCTGTGATGGTCTCCCCTGAATAGATATGTGGGCACAGTTGGCAACGGGCTTTGTTGCAAGGATAGGTTCATAAACCAGTCGGAGAACACTTCAATCTCTCTGGTCATGTGATTACAGACATGAAAGTTGCGATATTATAACAAAAAAACTTCAAATCCAGACTCCCGCGAGAAACTGTTGAATTGGAATTCATTTGCAAATTGGATACAATTAACTTAGGCTTGAATAGAGACTGGGAGTGGCTAAGTCATTATGCAAGGTAACCTATTTCCCCTTGTTTCCCCCCCCCCCCCCAGATGTTCTTGTTAAACCCTGGATTTGTGCTGGAAATGGCCCAACTTGATTATCATATACATTGTAAGGAGAGTGATCACTTTAGATAAGCTATTACCAGCAGGAGAGTGGGGTGGGGGGGGGAGGTATTTTTTCATGCTGTGTGTGTATAAAAAGATCTTCTACACTTTCCACAGTATGCATCCGATGAAGTGAGCTGTAGCTCACGAAAGCTTATGCTCAAATAAATTGGTTAGTCTCTAAGGTGCCACAAGTACTCCTTTTCTTTTTTAGATGAGTTACTGTATCTCCTGGAAGACCTCTGTGTACCAGTTGAAAACCACTGCTCAAACCACTGAAATATTGGGCAAGAGGCTGGGGCCCCCTGCTGCTTTCTTTTTGGTGGATGGGGGAGGGTGCAATCTGGTAAGCATGCAAATGAAGTCAAGGGGGCTTTCTTCAGGCAGCCATCTGGCAAGGCTCTTTGCAGGATCAAGGCTAAATTATCATTAATGCCACAGATGTGTTTTAAGAAAAATGTAATACTAACTGAAAGTACATGTCCCAGCCCAAAGATCAAACGTTATGCAGAAGTAAGGGTGGCATGGTATTGCCAACCTTACTTATGCACTGCTGCTGGCGGCAAAGAATTGCAGAAGCGTGGCCAGTGCCCACAAGATGTATAGCATGCAGAGCCCAATTTCCTGGCTATCCCGCCTCAGCCCTCCTTCCCCAATTGGGAAGAGGCTGATACCACCCCTGAAGGTGATCCCTGATCTCCAGAACTGTACTGTGAATATTACAAGTAAAGCTTGTATGTTGCAAGTTTTTCAGCTATTGTTTTGTTTTATGATTTAGGCCTAGAACTCAGTGATTAATGTTACACTTGACTCAAGCACCAGGAAAAAGTGTTTCACTAGAATCCATGACTCCTAGAAAAAAACCTGTTAAGTTATCCTGACTATGGTCCCAACCCTGCAGAAGTTTACACATATGCTTAACTTCAATACATAAAGGTAAGTACGTGCTTAACAGTTTCCAGGATCAGGGCCTGTATGTAGTCATAACTGCACACCCACTGATGCATCAGGCTCTCAGGTTTGACTGCTGGAGGTTTACAGTACCAAGCCATTGTTAAAACAACAAATACAAGTGGCTAAAAATATACTTTAAGTTTGTAGATAGGTTAATTTAGCTGATGAAAAACAGTGGACTTGCTTGGAACACCAACTCATGTTTATTATTTTGTTAACATTTGATTTGTTTGTAAAGTCATATAAAGTAAGAGTTGTACCTCTTATTTGCCATATTTAAAAAAAAAAAAAGGGAAGCATTTCCCCTATATTATAAGTAGTAGTGAAGTGGTACAGGAAAGGGTATGAAACCTATTGATCAGAGAGGCACTCAGGGATTCAGACAAGTTTAAGAGCAAGTAAAAAAAAAAAAAAGTGGGGGGGAGGGGTAGTGGGAAAGCACCTGAGAGTCTGGCATTATCTAGGTCACTTTGGGTAGGAGCCTGAATATGCATAACATGGAGCCTGACGAAGTCACAAGATTGCCACATTTTACACTAACGCCAACCCTGCTGGAGCTCACAGCCCCGGTTCCTCTCTCATCCCAAGAGAGAAAGTCCCTTCCACAGCCTCCCTGGCCCATGATCCCATCCCACCCTTCTCCTCCACCTTCCCCACAAGGGGCACGGTACGGCTGCCCTTTCCCCAGGGATCGCCCCCGACCCCCGCAGGCGAGGGTTACCTTGGAAGACGGCCAGCAGGCTGTAGGCGCTCAGGTAGCCCTCGGGGTTGTTGCACAGCTGCAGAGCCCTAGGAGTGAAGCTGCCCCACCCGCAGGGCCCCTCCTCACACACCGACGGGGGTCGGCCGGGGACCGGGCGGGAGCGGCTGGCGCTCGCCCTGGGGTGGAGACGGAGGTCGGGGCTGGAGGGCTCGAAAGCCGGGTTCACGATACCTTCCCGCGCCATGGCGCTGCCAGCCGCGCTCGGCCCCTAGCCCCGCTCCAGCCAGACACAGCCTCACCCGGGACCGGCCCTTCTAAATGCTCGGGACAGGGGGCTGCTGCCTCCCGTTGGGCCGCCCCCGCGCAGCCCCGCCCTGCTTGCGACTGGGGAGCTGGCTCCGGCGGTTTCGAAGAGCGGAGGCGGCGACTGCTGCTGCCCGGCACCTGCCGCCTTTCCCAACACAGCCCTGGCTAAGGGGAGGCTGCGGCGTCTCTGCCTCCAAGAGCTGCCCCTGCCCCAGAGCGGGCCGTTCGCCGGCAGCCCTCTCGCCTTCCAAAGAAAACGTGTTAAAGCTGCCTTTTCTCGGTCTGCCTTCTGCCCCCCCTCCCCTGCACGGCGGCTTTTCGCCCTACCAAGGCATCATCACCCAAGGAACCTGCAAAATGACACCGCACCACCACTGGAAGCTTTTTGCAATTTCCATGGTTATGCCTCAATACCCAGTTCTCCTTTACGTTACTGGAGTCATGATTGTTTACGGTAATTAAGCATGTTAGGGTGCATGAAGTCAGGAAAAAACAGCCGGTGGACATGGGACTAGCCTGAGCTCCCAGCTAGGATGACTGATTTAGGCTCCACAACCACTGAATCTCCGGGGGGTGTGAATGTGAGTGACTGGCTTTGTTGCAAAGAGCAATGAAATCGGACTTTAGGTGGATAGATAGAAACCTCATTGTATTTTAAAAAATCAAGTACCTGAAAGAATCCCCTGCTGCAAGTCTCTGGCTAGACCCGAAACTTTCAAAACACCAAATGCTACTGATGGAAAAAGCTAGAGGGTAGTTATTCCAGGTGCTGTCCTTCCTCACACCCAGAAAATTAGATGGGATGAAACCCATCCTGAATCACTAATCTAATTTTTGACAAAAAAACATTTTCCAAATGTTGTCTCTGAGAACAGTTTTTCCTGTGTTGACTCACAGACACTAGTTGTGTTGGGGATCTGATAGATGCTGGCATCTCATAAGCCTATAAATATATTCCTGACACAGAACAAGGAAGAGGTATTAAAACTTTTGTGGAGGCATGTTCAAGTGTGGGTGTTCATCAGGTGTTTAGTGGTAGTACCAGTTTGTTTACAAAGAACAGGAGTTAATCATCTTACCCCTCTGAACAAGAACATTTTGGAAGGAGTCCAGGGATTATTTAATATCACCAGCAGGTGCTCATCACAGGCAGTACAAATTTGTCTTATGGGATCCTCCATCCCCTTTCATGAGTCCAAAACAGTTTAGACTCACAGGAAAGAAAAAAAATTGAGCCAGCAGGTGTTAGAAAAGGCCTTGGTTAAGTCTCAGGACATATGTCTGACTCCCCAACCAGGATTTCTTTCCCTTAAGCAAGCAGCCTGGCATTTCAAGTAGTCCTAGCAACTCAAGGGAGCACATAGCAAGAGGACAGACAATTTAAAATAGAGAAGGTTTGTGAAAATTCAAAGCAGTGAAAGAACAGAATTCTTTTTGCTTTAAAAGACAACCTAACTATTCTAGAGCAGTGGATTGTGAAACAGAAAGAAAATACTTTTTTAGAGCAAGGACTGTTTTTAGAAGTCAGATGGAACGTTGGAGTCAAACTGTTCCATAGCAGTTGAGAGTGACAGTTGGTGGATGATGTCACCATACCATTACCAGACCAAGGCAGAGTAGGATACTATGAAAGTAAATCCCTTTACCTTCCTCACACAGACTCAGCAAAACATCCCTCTGCATTTGTGCCTGTTTCACTTACGGCCTGATTCTGCTGCCCTTAGTCACTGAATAGTCCCTCTGATTTCAATTGGACTGACTGAAACCTAAGTGACTACTTGAGAGCTGGTTGACTATCGGATAGTATGGGGTGTAGTTAAGGAAGATAAGACAATTGCAGAGAAGCTACACCACTACTTTGTATTGGCCTTTAGCAAGTAGGATTTCGGGGAAGACACCTACCCTTTTTAGATAAGATGAGATCCTGTCAGACTGAACAAATACACTTCTCAATACCACTCCCTCATCCCTCTAGAGCCAAATGGAATACTGATCTCAATCTCACCCTAACCTGAAGCTGACTAAGCATTTTGCCCAATTTATTGTTAACACCATCTTCATCCTCTCTCCATTCCTGAAAAAATATTACTGGATTCCTGCAAGACACTTTTCAGGCAGGCTTTCAATTTCTGCTGGGTTTCAGATGTCAACATTCCTCTACGTATTTATCTCCTATACTTTGGCACTATGATAAAATCACTCCTCTGTGGATAGAGATGTTCTATGTAATATTTATCTCTACTGCAGTACATTTCTCTACATCATTTTCAGTTTCTGGATTGAGATATGCATACGCCCATTCCAAATTATCTTTCAAAGCCAGTTTTAACAGTGCTACCTCTTTTAAAAAGAATCCTCCTTTGTTACTGCTCTTCTCACAGTGAATGGAAATATTGGATCACTATAATGTTTACAATAGAAAAAGCTACATCAGCTAGAAACGATACCCTGAATTTATTCTATTTTACCTGGAATCTCATACCAAATATTACACAGCTACTGCTGCCTCTTCCAGATTTAGCTCCTTACCTTGCAAAGGGAACTGGATGTCTACACTCACATGCGTGTAGAGTCCCATTGGTTTCAATGGAACTCCTCATGGGAGAAGAGATTGGCCTGCCTGGATTGCTTTGCAGTACTGGCAACTTAGTGATATTACCTCACCCACCTTGTCTCTCTTATCCGGGGACCAACAGGGCGACAACAGCATCACATACAACTTAGTAACATGTCAGTCATGCTTCTCTTGATTCCCATATTCTTCCACTTATCCTGTCACAATTATTCTCTTCCTTTTCTATTTCCCTTCTTTTCTTCCACTTAGTTCTTCATGTCAGTTTTTTTTGTTTTGTTTTTGTTTGTTTTGTTTTATTACTTATATTTTGGATTGTTTAACATTTTTGGTAAATCTTTTAATTTATTTATGTATTTTCAAATTTTTCATGGAGGAAACACAACAAAGCTTGTAAAACTGACTTACTGTTGTGTTTTGAGTAATAAGTTTCTTGTGGATCGTTTTCCAGGAATTGTACGCAGGAATGAATTGTTGCTTGTTTTCTCAAACGTTTTTCCTGGGTTTTAGAATATAAAAAATGTTAATTTACGTTTTTAAAAACCCATGAAGCTAATTTAGCTGAAAATTTAGGTGAGTTTATTGTGTTCACATTTATTTTATATTTTATACTTAATGGGTAGAATGTTGTCAGAATGGTTTGTGTACTTTTCATATAAATGGATGCTGTCTGTAGTTAATATAGAATGCTACACCTGTGTATCTAAGACTAGAAAAAAATCTATTATTTGAGAAATAGTATGTGATTGTGTAATTAAAAACTGTCAGTCAAACTGCACTAAGGCAAAGACTGGAGGACAGGTATCTTCTGCCTCACCTTTTTAGGCCCTGCTGGGGCCCAGATGGATCTTGTGGCAGCAGAGGATCAACAGGTATGACAGCCCCAGACATGCCTCCTCCCTTCTCCATCCTTCCCACCTCAGAATAATCCCTGCACCAGGTACACAGAGCTGTCTGCATGTCTAGTGTAGAGGCCTCGTGTACCCGTGCTATTCACCAGTGAGGTGAGGGCCTTACACTTCCCTACAACCTAATTGTGCTAGCTATGCTGATCCGAAGCAGCAGTGCTGAATCTGGTTCTGTATGCACAGTGGGATAGAAGTTACGTTTTTTCAACAGTTAACCATAGTGATGTAATTATTTTTAGTTTATCCTTCTATTTCAAGATAGTAGTGTTGAATACTCTCTTCTTTCTCTTTATGTGCTCTTCCCGTCTGTGTAGGAAATACAGGTTTCTCTTTAAAATAGCATACTTCCTGCTACCACAAAATTTACTTGTTTGTTTTTTATGTGTGAAATTTAGTACTTACAAAATGAAAAATGAAGTCTTGCATTTATTCACAGAACAGGTACAGCATGAGTAGCAGGTGTACAAGCTTCTTCACAAGTGTGCCTCAACTCTGACCTTGAGCACAGTCCCGCTTTTGTGGGTGAGTATCCATCTCCATGCCATTCAGCTTTTAGCTTCTCAGCCAAGTCTGCCAGTATTTCCATTTATGTAAAGTTTGGTGGTCTTTTCTGTGATCTATATACCAGTTCATTGCTAACTAGACAGAACCAAATTCATTTAACATAGTCCTTGATTTTTCATTTATAGAAAAAGTTCAACAGCATATTTGTCTTTGAGATTGTGAATCTATTAAACAAGTCTGTAGAGAAGAGCTAATTACCTTCTCTTCTTGTTGAAGGTGATAGTTACTATATTGTAGATCGGGGTAGGCAATCTATGGCACGCGTGCCAAAGGCAGCACACAAGCTGATTTTCAGTGGCACTTTTACTGCCTGGGTCCTGGCCACCGGTCCGGGGGGCTCTGCATTTTAATTTAATTTTAAATGAAGCTTCTTAAACATTTTTAAAACCTTATTTACTTTACATACAACAATAGTTTAGTTATATACTATAGACTTATAGAAAGAGACCTTCTAAAAACATTAAAATGTATTACTGGCACGTGAAACCTTAAATTAGAGTGAATAAGTGAAGACTTGGCACACCACTTCTGAAAGGTTGCGGACCCCTGTTGTAGATATACACTCACTGTCTTCACTCGAGGTAGGCAGTATTTATTATTTTGTTTCTTTCTTTCTGTTCATAGTCTGACCAAACAGTAACTGATGGGTGAGGGCAATAGTAATTTGTTTCACCTGCAGATACATGACATCTAGTGGTTGACTGTGAAACAGCTGTAGAATTCTACACTATGGAGCACTCTAATCCTCATTAGACAGAAGCACAGACCTAAGAATGTGGCTATTTTATAACTGCTACCTTCAGAATTACAGGACCTATGAATAGGTTTCTCTTAATTTACAGACCTGGGCCTTGCAAAGCAGAGCATTGGCTTGGTGAGTTTGGAAAAAAAAATAATTTCAAAATAGAAACAATCCATTCAACTAAAGCCACGTCTATACTATAAATGCTATAGCAGCACAGCTACAGCTCTGTACTTTCTACAGCAACAGAAGGGATTTTTCCATTGCTGTAGATAATCCACCTCTCCAAGCGGTGGTAGTGAGATCCATGGAAGCATGCTTCCATCAACCTAACTGTGTCTACACCAGCGGTTAGGTCCGCTTAACTATGTCATTCAGGATCGTGAATTTTTCACACTCCTGAATGACACAGCTAGGTTGATGTAAATGTTAAGTGTAGACCAAATCTAAGAATTATATGGTGATTTCTGTACCAATCCTGCAAGTTACCTGACTTCTTATTTCCTTGCAACCCCTTA